TAATGTAATGTAAAGAGGTAGTGTATTATGTACATCAGGGGTGCCCACACTTTTTAAGCTTGGGAGCTACTTTTAAAATGACCACGCCCAAGTGATCTACCTACAGGGCCGCCCCTCCCCAATCTGTGTCGTGAGCGGGGGGGGGACTAATTGTGCCGCATTTGCGCTTCAGATGAGGAGGTGAGGCCCCCTCATAACTGCATGAACCCGTATGGCACAATACAACTCAGACTGGCTTACCTGTACGTCAATCAAGTGGCAAATTAATTTTTTTTCCTTTGTTTTTTTCCAATGCCATGCGATCTACCCACACTACCCTTGCGATCGACCGGTCGATCGCGATCGACGTATTGGGCACCCCTGATGTGCATCATACAATGTCTACAAATAAGCTATGGACGTAAAACTAATTCAAACTAAATTTAGTCAGCTCTATTATGAAGTAATGACAGGAATAGCCGATGAACTTTCACAAGGACTCGTCTGGAGCTTTAATGCATGAGGGTTGATATGTAAACTGTTGCTAGGTTAGCATGACAAACACACACACACATAAATACACACTATTTTTTTTGTATTTACTTGCACTATTTTTTCTGTATCTGTTTTATTGTGTTGCACTGTTGGAGGAGCCTGTGACCTAAGATTTTCATTGACATAACTACACTGTAGCATGTACGTATGACAAACAAAAGCCTTGAACCTTGAACATACACACACACAGACACTCACTTTGAGTATGACTATACTGCGGTTGCGGAGGTCATAACCTGCATCAGACAGTCACACTTCCACTTTCCAACTTCCACTTTTAATTCCAGAAAAAAAAGGAAGAACAAAGAAAATTGTCTTCATTATATGAAATATTCTAGGACAACGGGTGAAGAGGGGTGAAGGAAGTAAAGGTGTAAGGAGAGTTTGGAGGAAATAACAGACAGGAAACATAAACATAGTAAAATAATGAAAAGCAAACAGATCACATTCCTCTAATTATTAAAGAGAGCTGTTGTTTTAAAAGGCTAACGGAACAGACAGTTAAACACACTGTGATGTCAGCCTCACCATCTGTGTGTGTGTGTGTGTGTGTGTGTGTGTGTGTGTGTGTGTGTGTGTGTGTGTGTGTGTGTGCACACACACACAGATGGTGAGGCTGACATCACAGTGTGTTTAACTGTCTGNCAAACAACTTCACAGAGTATACTGCCACCCAAAGTCCCCGGCCGGAAGTCCCCGGAGTTGGGGACTTGCTTCAGTAGAAGCTGCTGGGACTCCCGGAAATATACTCTGACCTTTAGGTCCTATCAAACTTAAAACTACATATCCCATGATGCAAAATGTACGTGTTTTCTTTGAATCTAAACAACATTTGCAATAAATACTCATTTAATCAGTACTTAATAACAAAAGAGGAACAAGTCAGAGATGCTGAGTCAGCAGAATGTAGTGAGAGTTCTCAGTTAGTATGAAATAAGACATGACTCATGACCTTTCTGTAACTCTGCAATTCAATTCAGGGGGAAAACAACAAGTCAGTGTTCCGTGGAAATTCCAAACAAAGTGGGAAACTGTCTTGATCACACACACCACAGGAGTCAGGACACACACCTAGTGCAAATGTATTGTGAATGTATTGTGAATGATGCTGTTGTTAAATGAATAGAACCTTTGCAGAAGAAACAATGAGTCTGAGAAAGGAATCGTTTTGCAGTCATAAAGAATCATTATGTAAATACTGCAGGCTCAACATTCAGTTTATAAAAGAAGCTAAAGAAATGTAGGCATTCAGTATTTATGTATATTTTACAAAATGAACTGGCTGTTTACATTTTTGTGTAAGATGTTGGTAGAAATGAAAGGCAGTAAACCCTGAATGCAGCTTGGCTCAGTGATAAAGAAGCAGCATTTGTGTGTATCTGCACTGAAGCGTGTGCTGGCCTGAAGGACCTTTTCACTGCACAACACATTTGCTTTTAAAATGATTTTGGCAGGCCAAAAACGCTGAAATGAAAGGAGAAGAATAAGTCCAGGGAGAGAAAAGAGCTAGAAAGGCAGAGGAAGAGAACAGAAAGTACATTTTTATTCCTTTTTAAATGATTTTGCCTTGAAAATGTGCTAGAATATTGCACCAAAAATGCTCTGCCTTGCTAAAGTGTAAGAAGGTGGTGTATCGATATTATTATGTAATCATGATTCACTTTCTTTTGGAAATCCACTTTCAATGTGCAGAACGTCTGGATAGAACAGAGATGATGTCTTGTTAGTATGCAGAGATGAAGGGGGGGGGTGGGTAAGGACGGAGGCAATAGAGAGAGAGAAAAGGGGGGGCGTGTAAAATGAGAATGGAGAAGAGGAGGTCTGTTCATTGACCCCTGACCCACACACACACACACACACACACACACACATACCATGTATACATCACTTCAGGGGACATTACATTAACTTACATGCATTTCCTAGAGACTTATCCTAACCTTAACCATAACCAACACATGCCTAACCCTAAACCTAACCAAGTCTTCACCCTAAAATTAATGATTCCCCTCATGGGGACCTCCATGTTG